TGGCTTTGTTTGGGAATGTTTCTTGATGGCTTTAGTTTTTTTATTTTTATATATTTTTATTATTTAAAAATATATAAAAAATTAATTAAAATAAATATAAATAAATTAAAAGAAAAGAAGAAATACAGATATCTAGGCATTTAAAATATCAAGAGGTTAAATCATAATCAAGATATCTAATTACAACTATTAAATATGTGAATAGTGTAAACTCTAACTTTATTAAATTCATTTGTAGTTATTATTAAACATTTTAGCATCTTTCCTGTATTTAATACCAGGGTACATCCTACTTTTCTCTCTTCTCATATATTAAATATATTTCATATATGTATGCGATATTAAAAAACAAAAAGACCTACAACTAAAACTATAGCACTAAACTAATAATTTATTGGTTCGAGTAAAAAAAAACTCAATTTTCTTTAAATAAAATCTTCAGTTCGAGTCTTCTGAATAGGAAAACAGACTGTGAGAGAACTTTTCTCCTAATAAGGCCTAACGCAATTCGATTCTAGATTAATTGAATTTAATGTGGTTATTAGATACCGAAAAATTAATAAAAAAAAAAAAAACTATAACACTACACTCCTAAACTAAGCCACCACTACTAACTAAAATTATTTGAAAATACTATAGTTCATGTGATTTTAAAAATTTATAATATGATATATTATTATAATTATTTTTTATTTAAATTTTTATTTATAATATTATATATATTTACTTATTTAATTAGTCAATAAAAGGAGAGATATATAATGCTAAAAGAATGAAGGCCGAAGTCTTCAAAGCCTCAAACACTTATCAGCCCATCTCCCTCGTCCCGGGCCAGTCCCATTTCCATCCCATTAAACCCTTTTCCCCCTAAACTCATCCCCTCCCTCTTCTAACCGTTATCTCTTCCTTCAGCCGCTGTTCTGACCATCCTCGCTTTGGGAATCATTTCCACCACCCAGCCAGGAACCCTAAATACCTCCGCTTTTCCGAAATTATATCTCTTTCCACCTTCAATCGCTTGTACGCCCTTCGCGTCGCCACCACAAGCCCTCTCGTGTCTCGTGACCGTTGTGAGAATGCAGGGAAGCAGGTGAACCAACCGCCGATTACCGACAAACAAATAATCCGCCTCCCCGCGTTCTCTTCACCAGCGTGAATCTTCACGGGGGAGCACTGCCATCTGATCTTTGCTTCTCCGATCCAGTTTCTCACGGCCAGATGAGGTTCACAATTGCAACTGGAGTATTATTCGGACTATTGCAAAGCCCGATCTAAGGATCTGCGATGACCGTGTGGTTCATGGCGATTGAAGAGGTTATCGCTTCCAAACTCGTAAAGCGCTCTACTTAAAGCCTCTACTTAGCCTCTGTTTGGATCGGTGAATTTGGAGGGGAAAGGGAGGAGAGAGGGACAAATGTCTCGATGGTAACAGGTTAGTGAGTATTAATTAAGGTATATTTCATTATTATTATTTTTTTTTGATAGAAACAATAATGAGTAGGTTAATATTGTCAAAATATTAATAACTAAAGATTTAATCCAATTCTAATAAATAATACACCGACCTCAATGAGTGCGGCCATCAGACTCGTCGGTGGAGTTCATATTTCATTAAATTTAGACAGCTTTTGAGGAGGGAGTCTCTAGTTTTTTTAATGACGAATATGCCCCTCTTGCATCTCAAAAATCTTTAAATTTTTACGGTACTAATTAAACAATTTTTCACTCCTCAACCGTCACGCATTCTCTCTCCTCCTTTCCACTTTCCATCTCCCATCACTGCAAGTGGAACACCTAACCGGCTAACCCTTCGAACTTCTCCACATTCTTTTTGCATATTTCTACCTTCTTTATCTTCTTATCATACAATATCTTTTGGGTTGACTCGTAAAAATGTTGTCTGAGGAAAGGTGTGTTTAGACCTTTGATAGTGTGGTGTCTCTAAGTCTCAGCGAGTTTTGACTCTAATTCATTAAAGACGAAAGCCAGTCGAGTGAATTTGGTGTGTTTTGAGTTAGGATTTATGGTATAGATTGAATAAGGTTGAGAAAACTAGGGAAAGTTTGAATTGGATCTGACAGATCCAAAAGGTTTGAGAAAAATGAAATCCCTTATCGGAGGGATTTCTTTGGAGGGGAGGGGGGAAGAATCCAACCACCAAACTTCTATATAACACAGGTTGCTCAAGGGTCTATGGGGGGATTTTTTTGAAATTTTTCTTTTTGTTAATGAGTTTTATTACGTTCTAAACCTTATTCAATATACAAAGTTAAGCCTGTCAGAGTTGCAGAGATGGAGGTTGCGATGATAGGAGCTGATGTGAAGAGAGAGAATGGGAAAGTAAGGTTGCAGATGGATTTCAATTGGGAATGAGGGAGTGAGTGAGCATGAAATTTGACCAGTCAAATGGCAGATAGATGAGAGAGAAGAAAAAGAAGTCTGTAGTTGATGTAGATGAGGGTATTTTAGTCTTAATCAAAATAAAAAAATTATTATTGAAATAATTATAAAATTCAGTAAAGATACTCTTTTAATTAAGGTTAGATACCTTAATTACTACTCACTAACCAACATGTGCACTAATTTATATCTTTAGAAGACATGTCCTTACAGCAAAGTTAAAAATATTTTTATTTGTTGAATTTTTTAAAAATAAATGTATAAAATATTTTATTTAAATTATTTTTAATTAATAAATTTTAAATATTTTATTTTATTTTTAAATTATTTAATTAAATCAAAATATTATTTTTATTTTTTATTTAAATAAAATTAATATTAATCT